CCACTTTCCAGCAAGGCAGCGGCCCCCAAATCCCTCCCGCATGGAATCTGTGAAGCGGCGGGCGACCAGGCCGCAGTCTCCCCCCTGGGGTCAGGAGCCGTGGTTACACCCCGAGCTTTGCACAAAGCAGGCTCTCCGTTTCTGTTATGGGCATGCATAGTGCAATGCTGGAAAGTTCCTCCCGAGGTCTAACAACCTCCCGCTGTCTCCCCACAGAAGAGCGCAGGAGCCGAGCCGGGGTGCCTGCGACCTACGGCCGCCAGGGGTCGCCGCAGCGTCCCCGCGCGGGAGGGCGGAGCGGGCCGCAGACGCGTGACAGCATGTGGACGCTCTGGCGCCGCGCGGCCGCCGGTCTCCCGCCCCGGTCGGCGCTCCCGGGCCCGGCCCTGGCCTTCACCCCGGCCCCGGGGCCCGCGGAGCTCGCCCGGTCTGCGGCGCCGGGCTGCGCGCCGGAACCGCGCGGCAGCGCGCCCGCGCCGCGCGTGAGTACCCGCGCCGGGCCGCGCAGCACGCGGCCGGGAGGCGCCGCGCACGCCGGGGACGCTGCGGCGCGGGACTGGGCGGGCGCGCGCGGCGGGCGGGCTGCGGACGCGCGGGGGCCGCGGGGCCTGGCGGCGGCGGCCTGTGCGCACCGCCTGGGGGCCCCCTTCCTCCCTCCAGTTCTCCTGGTTTCGTCTACACTGGCTGCTGCTGCTTTATGAAAGGGACGTTTTGTGCTGCAGGAAAAGGACCGCGGGGGGACGCAGGGCAAGGGGACGGGGTCACCTCCGAGGGATCTGTGGCTGTCTCCGTGCTTGCCACTTCCCTTTGCAAGAACTTAAGTGTTGTTAATATGTGGTGTGTACTGTGGTAGACTGCAGCTCCGTGCGCTGCGTGTGTTCATGTAGTGTGTGTATATGCAACACATGCATGTTGTGTGTGTGTGTGTGAACACACAGCATTTCCAAGCCTGGGTTTTTGTGAACGAACTGCTAACATGCAGTGAGGTGAGACTGCCCGGGCTGCGGGGAGCTAGAGCGGCAAGGGCTCCGGCTGTTAGAAAATGACCCGGCCTTTGTTGCAAATTCCGCCTTGGTGACCTGGAGGAGATCCCCCAACCTCTCTGAGGCGGGGCTTTTCTGGCTAGAGGAGATTAAAGGGCAACACCCACTTTTCGGACCTGGTTGTGTGGATTAAATTGGATTAGCATATGTAAAGCCTTCGTCATTTCAGATCTGGTCCCCTTTCTTCCCTTGGGGATGCAGAGAAGTATCTGACCCTGTTACTCCGGGACTGGAAAGGCGAAAGGCGGAAACCCAAACAATGGCTGTGGGGTTGGGCTGGACTTCCCTGAGAGAGGGACGAGGTATTTAATTAGGGTCTTAAAGTTGTCAAGAGAGAGTGGTGCTGGCATTCCAGGAGAGAACAGCAGGGGCAAAGGCTGGGGGTGCAGAGGGGGGTCAGTTCTGAGAGGCTGGTACACCGCGTGTACTGGGGGCAGGCTAAGTCACATGCAAATTGTGTGTTGGGCTCTGGAGTTGGTACTTTAAGCTTAAACTTCCCACTGACTCGTGTTATTTGGCCCACGTGGTGTTTAAAGAAACTTTGGGATTGGTTGGTTGCCAGTGCTCAAAAGTTGAGGCCTAGAAAATGGATATCTCAGCTTCCATGGAAAAAATAAACAGGTTTGGCCACGGTGACCCTGAGCTCGCCTGTGGGAAAGCACACGTTCATTACTGGGCTCCTTCTGTGCCACTCATCCAGAGCTGCCTGGCACTGAGCTCCCACCCCTGCCTGTGGGGGCATCATGAATTGTCAACAGAGTTTTTAATTTAGGCTAGTGACAAGAAGTCCCTTTTTGGTTGGTACCTAGTGGCTGTTAAGGGCTGTTGACTCAGAAGCCCTCCCAACTTGGTGCAGGCACCCAGGAGGTGGGCACCAGCGCACACTGGGTTTGCCGACTGTTAGGTTGGGCCTCTTTTTTGCATGTTAGATTAGTCACATTTGTTTGACCTGCCTATTGTACAGTTCCCTTGCACATCTTAGGTACTTGTGTAGTTTGGGTGGATGGCAATGGCCACTGGCACCACCATTCTGTTTAATTATTTTAAAGCCTTGACTGTCATTGACTTGATCCCAAAGGTCCCCTTGGTCTCCAAAATTCATCAGGGTCTGAGTTCACTTAGAGGCCTCTTTCCCATCCTTATTTTCTCTACCCCCTAATCTACTTGTAGAGCAGTGTTCCCACAGAAATAGATTGGAAACTTTCTACATAATTCTAAGTTTTCTAGTAGCTACGTTGAAAAGTAAAAAGAAACAAGTGAAATAAATTTCAACAATATATTTACTTAACCTAGTACATCCAAAATATCATTCTAACATGTAATCAATATTTTTTAAAACATTAATGAGATATCTTGCATTCTTTTTCATACTTATACACTTCTAGCGCATCTCAATTCAGATGTTAAGTTTCCATGGAAATAATCTATATTTAAATTTTATTGAAAATGAAGATTCACATAGTTGAGTTGTTCCAAACATACTTAAAAGTCTTCCAAGAACTTTATTATCGTTTTATTTATTTGTTTGTTTTTTGGAGACAGAGTCTCACTGTGTTGCCCAAGCTAGAGTGCCGTGACATCTACAAGCATGCGCCACCATGCCCGGCTAATTTTTTTCTATATATTTTTAGTTAGCCAATTAATTAATTTCTTTCTTTGTTTGTTTTTGTTTGTTTGTTTGTTTGTTTGTTTTGGCAGAGACGGGGTCTCACTCTTGCTCAAGCTGGTTTCAAACTCCTGACCTTGAGTGATCCACCCACCTTGGCCTCCCAGAGTGCTAGGATTACAGGCTGTGAGCCACTGCTCCCAGACTTTATTATCATTTTAAATTAATTAAAATTAAAGTTTAAAATCCAGTTCTTGCATCCCACTAGCCACACTCCTGGTGCTCAATAGCCACAGGTGGCTGGTGGCTGCCACACTAGACAGCTCTCCAGTGTGGCACAGTTAGCATCTGATCAGCCACAGCCTTACTCTCCCAGAGGCTGGGGAGGACTCTGGTGCCAGGAGGCAGCCTCTGCTCTAGATGGAGGCTGGGGAGGACTCTGGTGCCAGGAGGCAACCTCTGCTCTAGATGGAGGCTGGGGAGGACTCTGGTGCCAGGAGGCAACCTCTGCTCTAGATGGAGGCTGGGGAGGACTCTGGTGCCAGGAGGCAACCTCTGCTCTAGATGGAAGGATGGGACAGGAGCAGCATCTTTAATGTTTCACTTTAATGCCAAAGACGGCTTCAAGGAGATAACTGGATGTCACTGTGTCTTAGTCCATTTTCTGGTACTTAGAACTCCTGAAACTGGATAATTTATGGAGGCTGGAAAGTCCAAGGTCGAGGGGGACACATCTGGTGAGGGCCTTCTTGCTAGTGGGGACTCTGCAGAGTCCTGAGGTGGCTCAGGGCGTCACACAGCAAGGACGCTGGGCGTGCCAGTCGTGGGCCCTCTTCCTCTTCTTATAAGCCACCAATCCCACTCCCATGATGACCCATGAATCCATTAACTTTTGAATGGATTAATCCATTCATGAGGACAGAGCCTCTTAAAGGCCCCACCTTTCAACTCTGCCACATTGGGGATTAAGTTTCAATGCTTCAACGCAAGTTTTGGAGGGAATAAATATTCAAACCATAGCATGCTGCCTCTTAAATAACTTCATCATGTTAATGAAAAAACCCAAACTCTGTACATTAATTTAAAGATATTTATTCTAAGCTGAGTGTGTGTATGATTGAGGCCTGGAGCACATGTTTTCAAGAGGTTCTGAGAAAAAGTGCCCTCAGTAGCTGGGTCAGTTTAGTTTTATGCATTCATGGAGACAGGAATCACACATAAGATCATAAGTCAATATGTGGAAGGTGTACACTGGTTTGGCCCAAAAAGGCAGAACACAAGGGGGAGGGACAGTTCCAGGTTATAGGTGGGTTTAAAGATTCTTTGATTTGTAATTGGTTAAAGAAATGAAGCTAGAGGCTGAGCATGTTTTACCTTAAGGATGTCGGTTATAAAACTCAAGTGATCTGTTAAGTAAATTGATGGCCTACACGTGTGGTTTAAGCTTTGCCCTTTCAGGTGCCATTTAACTTAAAAAAAAAAATAAATAAATAAAAAAAAATTCAGGTGCCATTTAACTTAAAAAAAAAAAAAAAAAATAAAAAAAAAAAAAAAAAATAAAATAAGCTTTGCCTTGCATGGCCTTAGGCCTGATAGTGATTTAGTATCTTATTGTTACAAAGAGTAACTCCAAAAGGGAGGAGACATAAGGGGGGCGGGGGCATATCTGACTTCCCTTCTCCTGACTGGCAACTCAGCTTTAAGGGGTTTCAAGGGTCCCCTTGGCCAGCAGGGGGGGTCCATTCAGTCAGCTGAGGGACTTAAGATTTTATTATAGCTCTCAACAAGCTCCTGCTGCAGCCACTCCTACAAACCTTGATGGCTCTTAGACATCCATCCATTTTCCTAAAAGGACAAGACCATCACCTATGACCCTATGACCTTTTTTTTTCTTGGCTTTATCTCTATAAGCAGGTTATGCCCTAATTCACTTTAAATTTGTTTTTATTCATCTTCCACAGACAATCTATATGTGAGTTTATACACACGAAAATGTATATAAGAGATCTGTATTGCTTAAAGATTATTAATAAATGCTATGGTCTGAATGTATCCTCTCAAAATTCATATTGAAACCTAATCATCAAAATGATGGTGTTGGGAGGTGGGGCCTTTGAGAAGTGATTAGGTCTTGAGAGTGGAGCCCTCACGACTGGGATTAGTGCCCTTATAAAATAGCCCAGGGGAGCTTGTCCCCTCCTTCCACAGCTGTAAGTCACCATCTGTGAATGAGGAAACCAGCCCTCACTAGACTTATCAGCACCTTGATCTTGGACTTCCCAGCCTCCAGAACTGTGAGAAATAAATTTCTGTTGGTTATAAGCCACCTAGCATCTGGGATTGTGTGATAGCTTCCTGAAGAGGCTAGGACAACAGGCAGGCATCTGTATTCCCGGCACCAGGTAAAGAGAGAGAATTCACTTGTTCCCACTCACCCCTGCATACCTGCCCTCCCCCCTGGTCTCTGTTGATCATCCCTCCTGTTCTTAGAGTTTTACCTCCTGTGTATGTCTCCCTAAACCTTGAGTTGTTCGCATGAAAGGCAGGCTACGGTATTCATTCTGCTGGGACTTGCCCCTTTTGTTCAGCATTCTTTTTGATTAGCATCAGCATTGGTGCACGCAGTTGTCATTTATTCATCTTCACTGCTGGATACTGTCCTGTTGGGCGAATATGTCACACTTTATCCAGTCTCCTTTTCTCCAACCCATTTGGTTGATTGCAGTGTTCTGTTAACGCGATTGACACTGCTGTGAGCATTCAAAAGATCCTTTCTGGTGAATTCCTTAGAATGGAATTGCTGGGCAAAGGACCAGCCAGTAATTAACTCATTTGGGGCCAAAAGTGGTTATACCAGTTCACCCTCCCCCAGCAGGGGACAAGTTCTGATTCACTCTTCAAGTGCTTTGGTTAGACGGGGCCCAGGGTGACCAGTGGATACCTCTGGGGTGAAGGCTGGCCACTCAGGCCAGGCCTCTCCATGGGGTGGGACATAATTGGGTCATGTGGTTCCTGACCCTGAGACTTTAGGCCCAGAAGCTGTCTAGTGTTTCCTCGATGCATCTCATGAGCCAGCCCTGTGCTGAGCACACAGATCTAGACCAAGGCAAGCCCACCACAGTATATAGTCCAAGGGCTCCTGGGTGGCCTGGAGTCAGAAAGGGGTGTGTATGCTGAGTGGCTTCATGGGACGCACTCATCATGCAACCCTCGCCACCAGACATTCCGTCTGCCCCCCTCAGGCAGAGCAGAGCAGGTTCTCCCTCGGGTGGGGGCTGAAGTTCGCCTTTGGCCTCCTGGGGCATACTTCTGTTGACATATTTCTTTTTTTTTTTTTTGAGACAGAGTCTCGCTTTCTTGCCTAGGCTAGAGTGAGTGCCATGGCGTCAGCCTAGCTCACAGCAACCTCAAACTCCTGGGCTCAAGCGATCCTGCTGCCTCAGCCTCCCGAGTAGCTGGGACTACAGGCACGAGCCACCATGCCCGGCTGATTTTTATATTATATATATTAGTTGGCCAATTAATTTCTTTCTATTTTTATGGTAGAGACGGGGTCTCGCTCAGGCTGGTTTTGAACTCCTGACCTTGAGCAATCCGCCCGCCTCGGCCTCCCAGAGTGCTAGGAGACATATTTCAAAATAGAAATTTACTGAACACCCTTAGGCTCTGTGTTTGGGGTATTCCTGCTCTCTTGTTTAATCCTCATAACCAGTCTGCAAGGAGGGTACCACGATCCTGCCTTCAGAGGAGGAAACTGAGATTCCAAAAGGTTTAGCAGTTGCCCAAGAAATGTTAAATTGACAAAAAAAGAAAAAACAAGTAAGATACAAGGCAAGGAGTATTTGGCAGTGGTTCTTTTTTATGATTAAAAACAGCTGAATACAGACTTGTATTTCTGGCTATGCATGGGTAGCTTGCATTTGACCAAACCTCCCACCAAAAACAACCATCAAAGCTCTGCAAAATTAAAAAAAAAAAAAAAAAAAAAAGCTCTGCAAAATTTAAAAAAAACCAGCTGTGTGAGAGTATCGGGAGACTAAGAGAGCTAGGATTCCAGGGGCCAGGATCCTGGAGAGAAGGGAAGTCTCCTGAGGTGAGCCTGACACTCTCACACACTTGTCCCTTGATGTTTTGAACCCTGTCCTGAGTCCCAGGTGTGTGATTTTTTCCTCTGCGGCACAGCCTGTAGGTCCAGCTCCAGCTCCGCCACTTCGTGCATCTGTAACTTGGGGCACATCACCCTTTGGCGCCTCGGTTTCCTCATCTGTAAACTACAGCTGTAGTTGATCCTCATTATTCGCAGATTCTATACTTGTGAATTTGCCTTCTCGCTAAAGTGAGTTACCCCCAAATCGGTACTCCCGGCACTTTTGCAGGCGTTTTGCGCACATACGCAGAGCAGCTGTTAATCAGGATGTGAGGACCCCCACCCCACGCACATGTTCCCAGCAAACGTCGAGGAAGGCATTACACAAGTGTCTTTTTCACGGTCTGTTTAGTGCCTCGTTTTTCACATTTGTAGGCTTTTTTGATGGTGATTTCCCTGTTTGAAATGGTCCCCGAGCATAGTGCTAAAGTAAAAGCACGAGGAGACTATGATATGCGCCTCACAGAAAAAAATACCTGTGTTAGGTAAGCTTCACGCAGCCCTGAGTTATAGTTCTGAGAGCAATGTTAATGGATCAACAACACATATTCAATAAGGTGCCTTTAAGCAGAAATACACAAAAAACGAAGTTACGTATTGATAGATTGGTGAAAATGTGACCAGAGGCTTGCAGGAACCGAACCCCGTGTTTCCCCTAGGAATGATCCGCTCGAGTGTTCGTGACGGTTTATAGAACATGACTGTGGAGACTAATGGCTGTAATGACAGTACTTCCCTCAGTAACAGTGCAGGACTGTAAGGAGGACTCAGTGAGCCCATTTAGACAAGGGCCAAGCGCAGTGCCAAGCAGCCAGCACTCTGGACTGTGGGCCAGCTGTGACAGTGGCGTGACGGCCACCTTCTCACTTCAGAGCCACGCGTTTGTAAGCACAGTGTCAGTGCTCTGCCCCGTCCCCTCCTCCCCTGTCACTTCCCAGCCCTGTGCCCTCTGCTTCTCCTTTCTGAGCTCGCCCGGGGCACTGCCAGCCCCAGAGCGGATCACTAGCGGTCTCTCCTTTCCTCTCCATGGCAACCAGAGTGACCTTTGGAGAGGAAAATCTTATCACCAACCTCTTAAAGCCCCCTGGTGCCTTTCCAGGATGAAGTCCAGCTGAGTCCCTGCGCAAGGCCCCAGGCCGCCCCTGCCTGCTCCTTCATCTCCATCACCTCCCCCGCCTGCCATCCCCACTCCGCCTGCACCATCTCTGTCTCGCACTCAACCAGCTCCCGTCCAGTTACTTTCTGTCTCTCCGGCTGGTCAGCAGTGTCGCACGGCAGAGCTGGCGCTAATCAACTCGAGCCTCGCCTCCCGGATGCCCAGCAGTTAGGCACTGAAAAAAATCAACAGGTCACAGTCTGTCCTGCAGATCATGCTAATAAGATGTGTCAGGCAGCAGTCTGCAGTCAGAGCCAATCTTCTGGACTTTGGCAGACTCTGCCTCTTGCTGTTTCTTGTTGCTTCCCTTAGTGACATTCTAGGAGCATTGTGGGTGCTTCCCTGCCTCCTGCTAACCACCCCGTGACCTGAATAGCCTGAGGCAGCACTGCCCAGATATGCTCTGTGTCAGTCCCACTAGCCAGTGGTCACAGGACACTGGAAATGTGGCTGGCGCAGCTGAGGAACTGACTTTATTTTATTTTAGCTCAATATATTTAAGTTGAAATAGCTACATGTGGCTCATGGCTGCCCTACCGGAGCAGCATAAGCTTAGAGACTGAGACAATTCAGTGTAATGCATTAAAAAGAAGGTGAGAAAAAATTCCTAAGAAAATTTCTGAAAAACTTAACATGGTTATCTTAAATACAGAAATGACAACATATAAAGCATGCATGAATGGATTATAATATACTGTAAAAATGGTAATGTTATTCTCTTTTTTTATTTTTATTTCAGCATATTATGGGGGTACAAATGTTAAGGTTGCGTATATTGCCCATGCCCCCTGGTAATGTTATTCTTAACTTTGGCTTTTAGAGTTTGAACCTCCACTGCCTCAACCAGTTTCTGAATGTCAAAAAGCAGAGTGTCTGTTTGATGAATTTGAGGAAATCAGGAACTTTGGGTGACCCAAGGTAAGATAAAACACCTTCCACAGCAGGGATCTCTTCCTCCTCTTTTCTTTTCTCCCTTCCTCTTCCATATAGAACCTATTTTCTCCCTGAGCAACGATACTCAGTCATCTTTGCACGTCACTAAGTATCCACTACATTATTTTTAATAAAACAGTATTATATTGTATGGATGCACTATAATTTATTGAACCCATCCCCTCTTATTGGACATTGAGGTTATCTCCAGAGTTCTGTCGTTATTTTCTTCAATATCCTACTAGTTAGGGTAAGCCATGCTGTTGTAACAAATACACTAAAAATATAATGGCTCAAACCAAGAATGTCTGTGTCTCCTCTCTCCAGGCAGCCCAGGTGTTCCTCTGAGAAATGTATCCGGGAGCCAGGTTCCTTCCACCTCCCAGTTTGGTCCTCACCTGTCAGTGCCTTACTGCCCTCTGCATTGTTGGGACTGGGTCACCTTGTACAAGTCCCATTTGGCAGAGAAGGCTAGAAGCATAGAAGGGCTGGAAGTGGCACTTGTCCCTCACTCATAGTCCAGTAGGAAGAACTTAGTTGCATGGCCCCAGCTGACCACAAGGGAGCCTGGGAAATGTAGTCTAGCGAATGCCCTGGAAGAAGCAGTGGATTCCCCGTGGGAAGCTGCCAGGCACTGGCGCAGGTACCCCCTTGGCAACCGATATCTGCATGGACCCTCCTTCCACACTCAGGTGCATTTATCCGCAGCCCCAAGGGAGCCAACCAAAAGCCATGTGGTCACTGCATCCACCTCTAAAGTCCAAGATTTACCAGTGACATGCAGTCCTTTCTGTCAGGTCTGGGAGTGGCTTCCGACCTGCACTCTGACACAGTGATGGAGAGGGTTAGGGTGACCCTGGCTGTAACTCCCATTCAGAACAGGTGTCAGGGCATGGCAGGGGTGGAGTCCTGCTGGCCAGCACTGGGGCAGCCTCTCCCCTCCATGCGTCCCTGGTTCAGCCTTCTGGGAGGCCCCTCCTTGTCTGTTATTCCCGTTGGCCACACAGGAGGTAGCAGGAAGTGTGACCTTCTCAGGGTGACAGCTTTCATAGCCCACTTCCTGCTGATAATAATCTGGGGTTTCAAAGGCTGTTTTAAGGCTCCAGTAGGCTATCTTATGCCAGACTCATTTTTATTTATAATAGGATTTTCCCAAAAAGGAGGCTCCTGATGTATCCATTTGGGTCAGTCCCATGTGCTAGGCACCACATCCAAATTTCTTGCCTAGCTGGGAGCCTAAGGCTGCCTCGATTCTCTGTATGCCCCATGCCCTGCCCCCTCAACTGAAGGGCAGGTGCCTTGAAGTCATATAAAACAGTAAGATATTTTTAAGTTTGGGGACCAGCAATACCCTCAACCTGGTTTTTGCAGCAGAGTTGGGTCCCTTGCTTTGACTTAACTGGGGGAGACCTTTGTCGTTCAAAGCCTTAGCTTCTCCCATTGACTTTTCCATCTTTGTGCAGCCCTTTATCACAACATGCTCCATTTCATTCCACCTACTTGCACAGGGGCCAGTTCTCCCTGGCTCACTGGTAATCACAAGAAGCCACCCATGCATGGGACCATTCTGTCCCCAGAGCTATGTGCTCAGGAGGCATACTGTCGGCCTTCCAGGTTATCTCAGGCACCAGCCTTGCAGAGGGCTTCGCATGGCCCACGAGGCTGGAGGAGCTTCCCAAGCTGCTGTCTGCGTTCACAGACCCCTGCCACAAAGTCTGTAAGGGGCTCAGCACGCCGCATGTTTAGGTTTCTGCTTTGGTGACACTCATTTCCAGCCCCTGCTCTGGCACTCCCCAGCCCTGACTCTCTGCTGCTGTCCCCTCACCCCTCCTGGCAGTCTTGGAAGGCTGGGTAGGGCACTTGCAGGATGCCCCAAGCCCAGCTCCCTTCCGCAGGGTCTAATTCTGCCCTCTGGGAAGCACAGCTTTGTCTTGCCTTGTCTGACTTCTGCTGTGGCCCAACTCTCTGCTATCAGATAGCACCTGCCAGCCTTTTTTTTTTTTTTTTTTTTGACAGGTATCTCTAATCAACTTTAGTTTCTCACTCAGGACATTGATGAGTAGAAGGTTTTCTTTTTTTTTTTGACAGGGTCTCATCCTATCTCTCAGGCTAGAGTGCAGTGGTGCGATCATACCTCTCTACAACCTCAAATTCCTGGACTCAAGCCATCTTCCTGGCTCAGTCTCCCAAGTAGTAGGTGGCTTGTGCCACCGTGCTTGGCTAATATTTTTGTTTGTTTTTTGTGGAGACAGGGTCTCACTGTGTTGCTCATGCTGGTGTCGAACTCCTGACCTCATTCGATCCTCCCACCTCGGCCTCCCAAAGAGCTGGGATTACAGGCGTGAGACACCACGCCCAACCTGCCAAGTTCTTGACACATGAGTCAGGTGTGACTTTTTGTTCCCCAAATTCTTCAAGGAGGCATATCAACCACCCTCTCTGCCCCGTTCTCTCCAGCACATTCTCAAAATACATGCCACCAGGCCAACCACTCTCTTTAAAGAACAGCCCTTCACCAATCAGATCACCCCATATCTTTCCCCATGTTGTCCCCCTGAGGCGGCTGATGGGCTGGTTGGGGGAGGGGGTCATATGGCAAATCTGTATGTCTTGCATTAATTCTCTAGCAGCCACTGGTGTCTGTCTTTAGGCCCCTTGGAAACTCATAGATAATGGAGTTGCCCGGTATATATCTTATAACCTACAGATATATTCTCACAGGGGCACAAAAACACTTATAAGGATGTTTATTTTATTTTATTTTATTTTTTTTTTTTTTTTTTGAGACAGAGTCTTGCTCTTTTGCCCGGGCTAGAGTGCTGTGGCGTCAGCCTAGCTCACAGCAACCTCAAACTCCTGGGCTCAAGCAGTCCTTCTGCCTCAGCCTCCCAAATAGCTGGGACTACAGGCGTGCGCCACCATGCCCAGCTAATTTTTCTATATATTTTTTTAGTTAGCCAGTTAATTTCTTTCTATTTATAGTGGAGACGGGGTCTCACTCTTGGCTCAGGCTGGTTTCGAACTCCTGACCTTGAGCAATCTGCCTGCCTCGGCCTCCCAGAAAACTAGGATTACAGGCATGAGCCACCATGCCTGGCCAGATGTTTATATTTTTATTGATATATTTTTATTATAATTAATAAGCCATAAAATTCATCAGTTTAAAATGTACGATCCAGGGGGGTTTAGTATATTCACAAGGTTGTGCAACTATCACCACTAACTAATTCCAGAACATTTCATTACTCAAAAAATACACCTCATACCCGTTAGCAGTCACTCCCCATTCCTCCCTTTCCTAAAGCCCTGGCAACCACCAATCTACTTTCTGTCTCTGTAGATTTATAGCAATTTTTAAAAATTGAAAAATAGTATCTCTAAGGAAATATATCCAAGTCATAAGTATATAGCTTGATAATTTATTTATTTATTTTGAGACAGAGTCTCACTATGTTACCCGGGCTAGAGTGCCGTGGCATTAGCCTCACTCACAGCAACCTCAAACTCCTGGGCTCTGGCGATCCTCCTGCCTCAGCCTCCAGAGTAGCTGGGACTATAGGCATGCACCACCATGCCTGGCTACTTGTTTCTATTTTTTAGTAGAGATGGGGTCTTGCTCTTGCTCAGGCTGGTCTCAAACTCCTGAGCTTAAGCAATCTGTCCTTTCTTGGCCTTCCAGAGTGCTAGGATTACAGGCATGAGCCATCACGACTGGCCGCCTCTTAGCTAATTCTTGATATTATCTGTTTTATTTTAACTACTCTGGTGGCATCTCATTGTGATTTTTTAATTGGCATTTTCCTGAAGATTCACAAAGTTGAGTGGGACATGGTGGCACATGCCTGTATGTAGTCCCAGCTATTCAGGAAGCTGAAGCAGGAGGGTCACTTGAGCCTGGGAGTTCAAGTCCAGCATAGTAGGAGTCCAACATAGTAAGACCCTGTCTCAAAAACTAAATAAATAAAAACAAAACCTTGAGCCCCTTTTCATATATTCATTGACCATTTGGATATCTTTTTTTATGAAATCTGTTTAAGTATTTTGCCCATTTCTTTATTGGGTTTTCTTTTTCTTATTGATTTGTAGGAGTTGTTTATATATTTTATAAAGAGTCTTTTTTCAGATATATGTAATGCAAGTATTTTCTCCCACTTTGTGTCTTGCCTGACATAAATTTTAATAACAAAAGCAATGGAGGCCAGGCATGGTGGCTCGTGCCTATAATCCTAGCACTCTGGGAGGCCAAGGCAGGAGGATCACTCAAGGTCAGGAGTTCGAAACCAGCCTGAGCAAGAGCGAGACCCCATCTCTACTAAGAATAGAAATAAATTAATTGGCCAACTAAAAATATATAGAGAGAAAAATTAGCCAGGCATGGTGGCGCATGCCTATAGTCCCAGCTACTTGGGAGGCTGAGGCAGGAGGATGACTTGAGCCTAGGAGTTTGAGGTTGCTGTGAGCTAGTCCGATGCCACAACACTCTAGCCAGGGCAATAGAGTGAGACTCTGTCTCAAAAAAAAGGGGGGGGGGCAATGGAAACAACCTCAACATCCAGCTGAAGGGGACTGGTTAAATAAATAAAATATTTAAAACTTCCACATGTACTAGTATGGAATAATATCTAAGACATTAATTAAAAATACAAAACACTTCATTTATATATTTAAAAGAATATACAGGAAAGATACAGAAAAAACTGCTCATCATTGTTTCCTCTGGGCACGGGGGCTACCTATTTGGAAGAAAGGCTTACTTCTCTCTGTAACCCCTTCTGTGCTGTTTGTACATGTTAGATATTTTCCATCAATTTTTGAAGTTCAAATGAAAAATGTGTGAATTTGATATTAATGAAATGGAATATAATCTTATGTTTTCGGTTGTTTTTGTCCCCCCTGCAGTTCTCTAGATGAGACCACCTATGAGAGACTAGCAGAGGAAACCCTGGACTCCTTAGCAGAGTTTTTTGAAGACCTTGCAGACAAGCCTTACACGTTTGAGGACTATGATGTCTCCTTTGGGGTACTTCTTATCTTATTTTAATTTCTGTTTCCTCTCTAAGAATTTTAGTGCACTGAAATGAAGACTTCTCCTCTAGCAGAATGAAACGTCAAATTGCATGGGGTTGTGGCTGGCACCAAAGGACCCAACCCATCTCCACTAGGCATGTGGCCCTGGGCAAGTCACTCAGCCTTTCTGAGCCTCATTTTTGGGTTAAAAATACAGATTCTCATGCTTCACTCAATACCCGTGAAGGTAAATCAGGGAGGGACCTGGGCATGTGTTTGGCAAGCAAGCAAGCATGGGGAGCACTAAACTAGATGGATAGTTCTTTGCAGGCTAAGATAACTTTCCAAGAGTTATTCAGATTCAAAGACTCAGGCCCCACTCCGGAGAGACTCTGAGGTACAGGTAGATCAGGGTGCATTCCTGGGAAGCATATTTTTGGATTTTGGAAAGTCCACCCTGAATTCTAACGTGCATCCCTGGGTGCCCCTCCTAGAGATTACGGTTGAATTGGCCTGGGGTGTGATCTTGGCAGGGCACTGGGATTTTTAAAGCTCCCCAGGTGATTCTAATGTGAGAACTTCTGAATTTGATGAAACATTAGCCCCAAATCCTGGAAACCTAGGAAGTGCTGGATTTTATTGACAGGCCACCAGGTGGCAGACTTGAGCAAGGGCCCCCGCCTTTGGATTTGGAATTATTGCTTAGGCCTTGGAGTAGTTCTTTCTTGCCAGTGGGGAGGAAATTCCCGGCAGATGTTAATCCTCTTCATAGTAATTAATTAATGCCAGGAAATGCCATGAAGTGTGCCTTTTGGATTAAGTCATGGGATGATTGAAGACAACCAGCTGTCACCCTAAAATGATAGAAACGGTGTTGGATATTGCTGTGGGAGAGCTGGATAGAGAAGGAACTCCATAGGATAGGGCAGGAAGCAAAGTCAGGGAGAAAGCGTCAAGCCTGGTTGTAAGGACAGTGAGGGGCTTCGTAGGAATTGTTGGTTAAAAAAAAAAATAGGAGCAATGGAGTTGGGAAGGATTGAATGGCTTCCAGGTAGATTCATTGGTTGCTGTCAGCAGTGGAAAATGTGGCAGGGTCAGGGAAGGCCTTTAAAAGTGCTGGCATAGGCCAGGCGTGGTGGCTCACGCCTGTAATCCTAGCACTCTAGGAGGCCGAGGCGGGAGGATTGCTCGAGGTCAGGAGTTCAAAACCAGCCTGAGCAAGAGCGAGACCCCGTCTCTACTATAAATAGAAAGAAATTAATTGGCCAACTAATATATATATAGATAGAAAAAAATTAGCCGGGCATAGTGGCACATGCCTGTAGTAACAGCTACTCGGGAGGCTAAGGCAGGAGGATCGCTTGAGCCCAGGAGTTTGAGGTTGCTGTGAGGTAGGCTGATGCCACGGCACTCACTCTAGCCTGGGCAACAAAGTGAGACTCTGTCTCAAAAAAAAAAAAAAGTGCTGGCACAGACAGGCCTGGAGGGCCAAGCTGCTTGGGAACCTTACAAACTGGCCTGCCACCTTGCCCATCCACGCACTGATGAGAGGTAGGGATGTTACAGGCCTCCGGTCCCCCAGCCTACCTACCAGAGGCTGTAACTAAAGGGAAACCAAGTCTCAGGCTAAACTCTGCCCACACATGCAAACATCTATTAACAAGCCACAAAAACAGTCCTGCGGGGGGGGGGGGGGGGTAGCACAGGTAACCTAAACATTTGTACCCCATAATATGCTGAAATAAATAATAATTTAAAAAGACATTCCTGCAACCTGCTCTTATAGGATTAGTGGAGCCCCAACTTGACCACATATTTTGCATGAAGGTTTCATTAGAAGCAAATGTGGCAAATATTCTAGCAGCTGTATTCAGTTTACCTCATTGAATCAGTTTAAGTCAGGCGACAAAAACTTCTGCTCAGTGGTGGGTCACAGAACCTTCCGGAATCCTACCCCCGAGAGTGTCTCTCTGAAGAGTATTAGGCTGGTGAGCTTTCCAGATTCTGCGATCCACTCCTGCAAGGGAAGGGGTGCCTATATTTTTCTAGGCAATCCACATACCTTGAGTATCACTCTACTCCCCAGAGCAAAATTGTTTCTAACAAATTATTTACTGATTAGCGAATTCTGAAGTGTAGATTTAGAAAGCTAAAGGTATATAGTGGCTGCCTCTGTAGTTTGGACTTGTATTAAGTACAGTGAAATGCTATCTACCCTGGGTGTGAATTCCTGATTAGAGTCTTCAGGTGCTAACTACTTTATATATTTCACATTTGATAAATCAGTTGAAAGTATATTATAGACACATAGAACACCTGTAATACCATTACCTGGATTTTGTTGGAAGACAGTCTTTCCTGCCCTTGGGGTGCAATTGGAAGTTAGCTCCTTTGTGAAGCCCTGGGAGATGCTCACCATCCTTCCTCCCTCCCTTGTTGAGCACTCTGAGGATGACTGGGGGGTCCTAGTCACCCTGTTATTGTCTATTTATGTATCAGGCCCATGGCTAGACTGAGCTGCTTGGCTTAGGGACACTGTCCATTCTTTGATCCCAGTGCCTGGAACGGTGCCGAATGCATAGTAGGGACTTAATAAATGTGGATTTACTACGTAAATGAAATGAGACCCACATACTTTTCCAAAACATGCTTTCATGGACGCCACTCAGTGTTTATGGACCTTTTACCAACTTGCTACTGGCCAAGTAGACAAATGAAAGCAATAGTCCAGATACACTCAAGAAAGCACTTGTTGTGTTTTCTCGCTGTGGAGTGGGAGACTTGAGTGGCTTCTTAGCTGGTGTTTCAGCTGATCGAGTGGTCCAGGTGTAATAGGCGGATGGCAGTGTCTGGGTCCAGGCTTCACCCCTTATTGGCACTGGTTGTTACAGGGGACATCCCACAAGAGCCGAAAGCCCTGCCTGTCAGCAGGCAGCCACCGAGTCTGCTGCGCTTGCCCTAGCAAAACCTGACGGGGGACTGTCAGACGCACCACGCTATTTGAAGTTACCTGTGAGCTGCCTTCCTTTTCTTCTAGGAAGAGCCCCGGCCTCTTAGATGTTTTAATAAGGATTTGCTGGTTGACGTGATCTTCATTCACTAAGTTGTCAGCATAATACTGCATGAGAGAAGTTTCTTAACCTTTTTTAGGATCAGAACCCTCTATAAGAATCTGATGCCGGCTCTGGACTCTCTCCGGAGAAAAACTGCCATACTCGGCTAGGCGTCCAATCTCAGCTGCGATGCGGAAGCTGTCTGCAGCCTCCCAAAGGCCACCTCTGAGTCTTGAGGTGGGGACCTCTGCTTACAGGTCGCATCTTACTGCACAGGGAGACAGAGGATCTGGCGTGGCATGCTGGACTTGAATTTTCCTTCCAGGGGTCCTTCAATGAATTAACTAACTTCTGTGAGCTGCAGCTTCCTCAGCCGTGCAGTGAGTGCCCTTAACCTCCATGTCTCTAGGTTTACGTGAGGACTAACTGAAACAACATAGGTAAAAGTGCTTCAAACTCCTTATTCTTTAAGGGGAAGTCAGAATCTGCTTTAGGAGTGTGGGAGGCCACTTATATGTGAAGTGTCCCGACTCAACATGCCATCCCATATGTGTCTATTTCTACAACGGAGCTGGTGACAACAGTAATTGCTATATTTGCTCCCACCTGTGTAGGGCTGCCCTTGACTAGCAGGTGTCAATAAGCCTCACCAGCTGTGGCCTCGGTCTGCTCTGATTGCTTAGTGCCTGTGTCTCAGCAACTGCTAAATATTTTTGACTATCCCCCCAGCCCCACTTAAGTGCGCCCACACTCCCAAAATAGATTCGGATTGCCTAAGGCATGGTCAGAATAATGAATAGAAAGCCCTCTTCCTCAGTCTACTTGCAGTGAGTTCTGGGAGCATTAAGAACTGCCCGCTGCACCAACATGACAGCTAGTTTCTTCCCTCTTGCCACTTTCTTTCGGAAACAACTTCAGGCTCCACGGGGAAAAACTCTAATGACAGAGAACAGGTTGTATGGAGGGGCTGGACCTGCAGATGCCATAGCATGGAGAGACAAATGTGATGGCGGGGCGCTCACAATAGTGGGCGGCAGGGACAAGCAGACACATTAGCAGCTCTGAGTGCAGGGAGAAAGTGGGGCGGTGGCCTTGGGGACACACGCAGGGCATCAGGGTGACTTTCCCCAGGCTCCTCAACTGGGACCCGGAGCAGAGGAGTGGCCTGTCCTGGGGAGAGGGTGCCCTGCGGAGAAGGTGCCACGTGGCATAAACAGTTTGACAGCTGCGGAGCTAGCCGGCCTCTCACGTTGGTTTTATTAATATGCTCTCTGGAGAAGTGGCCTGTTTCCTGGAGTTACTCAGAAGACTTCCGGTCGGAAAGTGGATTTTGGTTTCAGTGGTCAGATGCCCCATCCTGCTGGTAGATCGGAGCAAGGGAAGAGGCCTTGGGGGCGATCAGTCAGCCCTTCCATCCTTGCACGGAGTTCCTGAGTGAGGCAGGACTGATAGGACAGTAGTTGTCGTGAGGAGACAGGCATGTGGTTGATGTGACCGGCCCGAGGCCCAGGGCCGGTCAGTGATGAGACCGGACCTGGAATCTGCATCCTTGTCACCTGTCCTCTGCCCTTTCCGCCGACTGTGTCCTCCCCAGTCTAGGGCACAAGGTACAATGGGGCATTTAAGGGCCACACAGAGGTCACATGAGAGCAATTCTGTGTTGATTCCATGAGCCCCAGTATCTCATGGAAAAATAATTTATAAAATTGTGTATGGGATGAGGAGTAGAGTGGGGAGTGACTATTGATGGGTGCAGGGTTTCTTTTGGGGGAGGTGGAACTAGTCTAGAATTAGTGGTGATGTTTGCACACTTTGTGAAATACTAAAAACTACTGAATTGTATAGTTTTAACAAGTTTTTTTTTTATTTCGGCATATTATGGGGGTACAGATTTTAAGATTTCAATAAATGCCCATTTCTCCCCCTCTTAACAAGTTTTTAAATAAATGAAATGTAGTCCTACCAAAACAGTAAAGATGGGTTTCAGAAAAAGAATTTTTTTAAAACAAATTTATGTACAATATAATCCTAGTCCTTTAAAAAAATGTATTCAAAAACTGGAAGCCAGGCTGGGTGCAGTGGCTCACGCCTGAAATCCTAGCACTTTGGAGAGGCCAAGGCGGGTGGATCATTTGAGCTCAGGAGGTCCAGACCAGCCTGAGCAAGAGCAAGACCCTGTCTCTACTAAAAATAGAAAGAAATTAATTGGTCAACTAAAAATATACAGACAAAATTATCCGGGCATGGTGGCACATGCCTGTGGTCCCAGCTACTCGGGAGACTGAGGCAGAAGGATCACTTGAGCCCGGGAGTTTGAGGTTGCTGTGAGCTAGGCTGACGCCATGGCACTCTAGCCCGGGCAACAGAGTGAGACTCTGTCTCCAAAAAAAAAAAAAAAACTGGAAGCCAATCACAAAAGGACAAACAAATACTGGACAATTACACTCATATGAAGTAGTCAAAATCTTAGAAACAGCACTGTAAATATATGATTTTTATTTGTCAGTTAAAAAAGAAATGAGTCAAAATCATAGAAATAAAGTCGAAAGGTATTTATCAAGGGCTAGGGGAGGGGAAATTAGCGTCTGATGGGTACAGAGTTTCAGCGTTACAAGATGGGAAAGTTCTAGAGATCTGGTTGTACAACAATGTCAATATACTTAACGCTACTGAACTGTACACTTAAAAATGGTTAATATGGCAAATTTAATATTATGTGGTTTTTACGATAATAAAAAGCAATTTTTTTAAAACCTGGCTTCTGAGACCCTAGAGTGAATACCTTATATTGCTGGTTAATGAGAGTGAGAATACACTCTGTATTATGGAAAGAACAGTGCCTCTGGACCCAAACAGACCTGGATTTAAGATCACCTCTGCAAGTGTTCTTTACTACTCTGAACCTCTGTTTTCCTTGTCTGTAAGATTGGGATAATGATTCCTAGCTCCATCAGTTACGGTCAGGTTGGAAACAATTTACACAAAGTACCAAACACATAGCCTGGCACAGAGTAGGGACTCAGTTAATGGTAATTAATTTTTTTTTTTTAAGAGACAGAGTCTTGCTCTGTCACCCAGGCTGGAGTGCAGTGGCGTCATCATAGCTCACTGCAGCCTCAAACTCCTGGGCTCAAGCGATCCTCCTGCCACAGCCTCCCTAGCAGCTGGGACTACAGGCACATGCGACCACGCGTGGCTGAGTTTTTAATTTTTTGTAGAGATGGGGGTCTTACTATGTTGCCTAGGCTGGTCCGAAAGTAATTAATATTAATATTTTTACCAATGTTTTCATTTTCCTTATGTTATCTGCATTCTCAATGTCTCAGTCATTTCTATACATTTCTTTGTGAATCAGGAAAACAATGTTATTGAGTAGTAACCCAGTAGTGCCCCCCCATCCCATTCCTACCAGTTATGTTGTTATTGTTTTTGCCCTGCGGCATTAAATAGCTCTTTGTGTTTGCAAGTGTGTTGTAGGAATCACTGGGGGCCCCTTGGTTGGAGGGGGCCTCTAGAATGCACAGGAAAGCCGAGATCCCTGCAAGTCATGCGCAGGATGGGGGGTGGCCAGGCTCCTTCCTGCTTGCACGTCCCAACACGGGGGACTCAGCCCTGTCACTGTTTCTTTCATATCCTGTCCATTCTAAAAAGAGCGCAAGCCTTGGGAGTAAAGGACTCCTTTGTTGAAAGAGTGTTTTCAAATTTAAATGAGCATTTATTGGTCATAGATGGACTAACCAGTCTTTTGAAGAATTCAAGGCTCTTTAGAAGAAAAAAAAAAAAAAAAAACATTGGAGAAGCGTCTGAGAAGCTTATTAGATGCGTGGGAAGGGTCTGGAAATAAAAAACCTAGTCTAGAGTTTCTGCCTTCTACCAACACAGCTGAAGCTATTGCTCTTCCAAGACAAGCGAAGCAGGTGGTTCGAGTACTTCTTTCTTTCCTTTTTTCTTTTTTTCTGTGATAGACTAGCGTCTGATGTTTGGGCTGACATTGTACTCTAACAGAGTTGGGGTCTGCATTTTTTAAGGTCCTCTAGTATGTTCTGGTTGGTAGTCAAGGGCAACAAGCCAGCAGTCCCAAATGCCAGCTCAGAGACCTCAGACAAGTCACTTAACATGGGGAGCTTCATTACCCCATTCACCTTGCGACCTCACAGAGAATAGCGAAAAGTGCCGTGAGCTATCAGCCTTATTGTGATTAATCCTATTCTGATTCTGAAAGCAATGCTCTTTCTACACAATCTGCTGTCTGTAAATACTAAATTAAGGACATTCCTCTCTGGTGTAAATTGTGTGCTTCTATAAATGGAAAGTGTTAAGCTGTAACAAACCTCAAAGCAATGATGACAAAGTCCTAACTTTGTCTTATTTTATTTTCTTCCTGCTTTTTCCCACCTGGTCGCCTAGAGTGGTGTTTTAACAATTAAACTGGGTGGAGATCTAGGGACCTACGTGATCAACAAGCAGACTCCAAACAAGCAAATCTGGTTATCCTCTCCATCCAGGTATGTTCCGAAGTCAAAATCTGTAGTCATTAAACTCACCTGAAACATGACATTGTGGCCCGTTTCAGAAGTGTCACCCTCATACGCTAGTCTCTGTGTAAGTGAACCTTTCCTGATGTTTTATAAGCTGTCTCATTCTCAGTAGGCAAGTTTACTCTGGTTATACATCTTCTCCCTGGGGATAATTTGGTTACCATGGTCAGGGAGATGAGAGCAAGATCTGAAATGAAACATTTATAACTTTTCAGAACCTCGCTTACACAGGTTTTCGCCATTAAATCGTTGCCCTGCCTTTCAAAAACCTACTTTTAATATTGCAGCATCTGAACAAGTTGCACGTGGTCTTAAAAGCAAGTAAAAGTTTGACCTCTACTTGATTTGAGCATGACAGCTAAAGGGTTAGTTGAATTCCCTCTGTAAAATTGGGTCCTCTACCCCGTGAAGGTGGGAGAGTGTTCACTTGGATGTCGAGTGTGGATAATGAGAAAAAGCAAGCAAGTGCAGAGGGTTAACTTGCTACTCCAGGGCATTTAACTCCTCCTGCCTTGTCCATTGCTGTGCTTGCTTGCTTGCTTGCTTTTTTCTTTGAGTCAGAGTCTCACTCTGTTGCCATGGCGTCAGCCTAGCTCACAGCAACCTCAAACTCCTGAGCTCAAGCAATCCTCCTGCCTCAGCCTCCTGGGACTACTGGCATGCGCCACCATGCCCGGCTAATTTTTGTATATATATATATATATATATATACACATATATATATGTGTATATATATATATATATATAATTTTTTTCTTTTTTTAGTTGTCCAGCTAATTTCTTTCTATTTTTTTAGTAGAGATGGGGTCTCGCTCTTGCTCAGGCTGGTCTGAAACTCCTGAGCTCAAACGATCCTCCCGCCTCGGCCTCCCAGAGAGCTTGGATTACAGACGTGAGCCACCACGCCCAGCCCCATTGCTGTGCTTTCAGTCTAGGGAAATAAAAGACTGTGTTGGAGACACAGCATGTCTTGTGCAGCATCTGAAAGCCTGAGAGCCTGCAGGGAGGGACGCCTGTCATCCCTCATCTGTCTGGCTGCTGTGGAACTGGTTGTAAAAGTGAAAGAGAAACACCCACAAAAGCCTCTCAGACCAGCCTTCCTGGGTCATTCATTTGCACTTCCAAAGAAAACATGTTGACTGTGAACATTGGGTAAGGCTCAAATATAACCACCTTGGAATTCTTTGAAAGCCTAATGATATTTGCATTTTAAAAAATTATAGCCTTACCCCACCCCATATCATTGACCTCATTTGTAGGCAGTTAATATTATACCATTTGTCAGGCTGTGGTGTATAATTCTTTGTTCAGAATAAAGTGTTCTGCCCCCTTCACTTCAGTCTCATCCAGGAAGTGTGATATAGTTCAACAAAAACAATAGTACAAATCGCTGTCCTTTCTAGTAAAGCTCTGATTCACACATTGTATTGCTTTTTTAGACCCAGTTAGTTTACTGGAGGTTGGAGGGTTTTAACCTGCATGGGCCCATTAGCCTCTTTGGCCTGGAACAGTGTTCCTAACCACAGCCGAGCGTGGGGCCTGTGATTATTATCCTTCCCCGGAGGAACTGGTACAAGAAACCGAGTAGATCAGCAATCACATTTGGGGATTAGTGGCTTTGTAAATACCAGGCAGGGCACCAATATCAACTGCGATCGTTCCCTAAAAGAATTTTCTACCTCTCTGGAGACTGAAACTGTCCATATCATATATGGACACATCAACTAGCTGTAGGATCCTGCCCCAGCTGTGTTCAGAAGAACATTCAATACTACTGGGTGATAATCACTTCCTAGGAATTCCAAGTGTACTTTTTTTTTTTTTTTTTTTTTTTTGAGACAGAGTCTCGCTTTGTTGTCCAGGCTAGAGTGAGTGCCGTGGCGTCAGCCTAGCTCACAGCAACCTCAATCTCCTGGGCTCGAGTGATCCTTCTGCCTCAGCCTCCCGAGTAGCTGGGACTATAGGCATGCGCCACCATGCCCGGCTAATTTTTTATATATATCAGTTGGCCAATTAATTTCTTTCTATTTATAGTAGAGACGGGGTCTTGCTCTTGCTCAGGCTGGTTTTGAACTCCTGACCTTGAGCAATCCGCCCGCCTCGGCCTCCCAAGAGCTAGGATTACAGGCGTGAGCCATAGCGCCCGGCCTCCAAGTGTACTTTTTTAAAATCTGCAATTCATGTGGGAATTTAGGAAGAAACTCTGCCAAGTAGGCATTTACTGTTGCAGATACTATGTTCCTTAAAAAATTTTTTTTGTTTTTTCCTTCTCAGCTTTTTACATTGGTTCAAAATATCTTTCATACGGGTGCATTTCTGATTTTTTGAGTTTTTTAAATGGACAACTTTTCAGGTCCTGTGGAATAAGCAGTCTTTCCTAGCCACTTTGCCCATCCTGAGGAGGTTGTGGGATGGAATAAAGGAAAGGTCTGGGGGCCACCTGGGCTTCAGTGCCTGGCTCAGAGCCCCTGGGGCAGTGTGGAGGGGTCTGGAAGCTACTCTCCCTCTTCCTGGCAGCCTGGCAGCAGCCTCCGAGTGCAGGACCAAGGGAACATTTTCTGGGTTTGATCTGGGTTAGTGCTTTTTATATGGCCCAGGTGGTTTGGTTTGCTCTTTTTATCTCCATTATTGGGACCTATTCGACCCCCAGCATTTGGTTGATAATATAAAAGTCCTTGGTGATGTTTCCCTTCCAAGCTTCTGTCCCTGGCAAGCTCCTCCCAGCCTCCGTCTGTGGAAAAGCTCTCCTTGCGTGCACCAGGTTGACTGAGGTACCCCTTCCCAGGGGCTCCCCATGTGCTCTGCTCTTACCTCCAACAGAGCACCATCGTCAGCCACTGTCATCTGATGCTATGTCCACTCCTAGCCACAAGGACACGAGGAGATAGAACTTGGCATACATGTTGTATACATCTAACAAGACATGGCAGCCAGGCACAGTGGCTCACGCCTGTAATCCTAGCACTCTGGGAGGCCGAGGCTGGCGGATCCTTTGAGCTCAGGAGTTCAAGACCAGCCTGAACAAGAGCGAGACCCCGTCTCTACTAAAAAAAAAAGAAAAACATAGAAAGAAATTAGCTGAACAACTAAAAATATGTTTTTAAAAATTAGCTGTGCATGGTGGCACATGCCTGTAGTCCCAACCACTCGGGAGGCTGAGGCAGGAGGATCGCTTGAGCCCAGGAGTTTGAGGTTGCTGTGAGCTAGGCTGACTCCACGGCACTCTAGCCCAGGCAACAGAACGAGACTCTGTCTCAGGAAAAAAAAAAAAAAAAAAAAAAACAATTTATGTAACCGAAACATTTGTACCCCCCGTAATATTCTGAAATAAAATTTAAAAAAAATAAAAATATTTTTAAAGATAATAGTTTGGGTAGTTGCTGAAGGGCTGGGAGAGGAGGAAATAGGAAATAACCACTTAATGGGCACCGTCTGCACTCTGTATCTGACTGTTACGCATCTGTAGACTCAACCAACAGCAGATCAAAAATATTTGGGAAAAAAATCAACAAAAAATAATAACAATTAAAAATATACATACACAGCATAGGAACTATTTACAGAGCATTTCCATTATATTAGGTATTAAAGGTAATCTGGAAATAAGGTATACAGGAGGACACATGTAAGTTATATGAAATACTATGTCATTTTATATTAGGGGCTTGAGCATCCACAGATTTTGGTATTCGTGGGGGTACTGGAACCTATCCCCTGTGGATACTGAGGGGCAACTCTACTGAGTCTCCTTTTGGGATGATACAGATGTTTTGGGACTAGATAGAGGTATTGGTTATACAACATTGTGAATAATATCAAATGCCACTGAACTGTTCCTTTTTAAGTGGTTAATTTCATGTTATCTGAATTTCACCTCAATGATTAATGAAAGTTTAGGTAAGGCACAAATCATGTCAGTGGCACAAAAGTGACCAATTTTTTTTCTTTGAGACAGAGTCTCGCTTTGTTGCCCAGGCTAGAGTGAGTGCCGTGGCATCAGCCTAGCTCATAGCAACCTCAAACTTCTGGGCTCGAGCAATCCTTCTGCCTCAGCCTCCCGGGTAGCTGGGACTACAGGCATGCGCCACCATGCCCGGCTAATTTTTTATATATATATCAGTTGGCCAATTAATTTCTTTCTATTTATAGTAGAGACGGGGTCTTGCTCTTGCTCAGGCTGGTTTTGAACTCCTGACCTTGAGCATTCCACCCGCCTCGGCCTCCCAAGAGCTAGGATTACAGGCGTGAGCCACAGCGCCCGGCCAAAAGTGACCAATTTTAAAAACACTGGTCTAGGCCAGGTGCAGTGGCTCATGCTTATAACCCTAGCACTCTGGGAGGCCGAGGCGGGAGGGTCGTTTCAGCTCAGGAGTTGGAGACCAGCCTGAGCCATCTCTACTAAAAATAGAAAAAATTAGCGCATGCCTGTAGTCTCAGCTACTCGGGAGGCTGAAGCAGGAGGATCGCCTGAGCCCAGGAGTTTGAGGTTGCTGTGAGCTAGGCTGATGCCACGGCACTCTAGCCAGGGCAACAGAGTGAGACTCTGTCTCAAAAACAAAAAAAAGGCTGGGTGTGGTGGCTCACGCCTGTAATCCTAGCACTCTGGGAGGCCAAAGCAGGTAGACTGCTCAAGGTCAGGAGTTCGAAACCAGCCTGAGCAAGAGTGAGACCCCCATCTCTACTATAAATAGAAAGAAGTTAATTGGCCAACTAACATATATATATAGAAAAAATTAGCCGGGCATGGTGGTGAATGCCTGTAGTTCCAGCTTCTCGGGAGGCTGAGGCAGAAGGATCGCTTGAGCCCAGGAGATTGAGGTTGCTGTGAGCTAGGCAGACACCACAGCACTCACTCTAGCCTGGGCAACAGAGTGAGACTCTTTCTCTCAAAAAAAAAAAAAAAAAACCCCACTCATCTAACGTAGCAGGTGTCATATGTGAGGTAGGAAAAGCGAGGGATCAGAATGTGATGTGTGGATACTGCTCAGTAAGAGTCACGTGTTTGCAGGTCTTGCGAATCATTCCAGAGGATACAGTGTGTGACTGTTGTTAAATGGAAAGACCCTAAGACAAGAAGTCAAATATATACTGAACTTCTCTAGCGCTTCCCTCCAGTCCATGTCTTGGTGGCAGCGTTGGTGGCGTCAGTGATCCGAAGGGCTGTCCTCGGGGACTTACCGTGTATTTGTGTTGTGTTCCAGTGGGCCCAAGCGTTACGACTGGACCGGGAAGAACTGGGTGTACTCGCACGATGGCGTGTCCCTCCACGAGCTGCTGGCCGCCGAGCTGACTGCAGCCTTAAAAACCAAACTGGACTTATCTTCCTTGGCCTACTCTGGAAAAGGCACCTGATGCCCAGCCTGGTTTTAAAGACATTAAAAGCTATCAGACCAAGACCCAGCTTCACTCTGCAGCCGAGTGTCTGTTTCTTCCCATTCCTGCTTTTGAGGACACTAGCTTGTGCATAATAACAGCTCTGTGCAAAGAATGTGTTGCCTTCCGCCCTGCCCCCAAGTTCTGATTTTTAATTTTTATAGAGGAGTTTTGGGGTTTTGTTTTTTTTTTTTTGCATTTATTGTCTGATTTCCTCCTTCACGTGTGAATTGTACCCCTTTTATGGTGTCTTCTACCTATACCTTAATATAGCAACCTCCCAAAAATAAGAAAAATAAGAAGAAAACATTCCAGGAGGAGAAATGAATTGTCTTCAATCTTGATTCTTTGAAGGATTTACTGCAAAAGCTGCATGAAGAGGGCTGGCCCTTCTGTCTCAAAATGAGACTCATTAAAGGGTAGCCTATAAATGTTCCCAGGACTCTTTCAAATCGTAAGCACTTCTGAGCTCTTTAGCACTGAAGTGTCAAAAGCAGCTCAGATGGGAAGACCATCCTCCATCTGTGCTTCATGCCTGCCAAGTGGGCCTACTGTGGGTTATCCACAGAGACCTGTTGCTGTGTCTTCCACATATTCATACATATATGTGCACATGCACACACATGTATGTGTGTATATACATATTTTCTTAATTTAAATGTCAGTACAGGCCTGGCACAGTAGCTCAAGCCTATAATCCTAGCACTCTGGGAAGCCAAGGTGGGTGGATTGCTCCAGGTCAGGAGTTTGAAACCAGCCTGAGGAAGAGTAAGACCCCATCTCTACTATAACTAGAAAGAAATTAATTGGCCGACTAAAAATATATAGAAAAAATTATCCGGGCATGGTGGCGCTTGCCTGTAGTCCCAGCTACTCGGGAGGCTGAGGCAGCAGGATCGCTTGAGCCCAGGAGTTTGAGGTTGCTGTGAGCTAGGCTGCTGCCACGGCACTCACTCTAGCCTGGGCAACAAAGTGAGACTCTGTCTCAAAAAAAAAAGTCTCCTAAAGACAAGAAGGGGGAAAAAGCCATTTCCAAGAGCTGAGTGACATAGGATAATAAACAAAGTCACATAGAGCTGAAGAGTACCTTGTAAATATGAAGGGTCTTAGAAATGAAAGAGATACTTGAATTGATCAAAAGAACCCTGGTCCTAGACATGGCTCAGCCACAAAGTAGTTGTGTATCTATGGACAAGTTTCAAAGACTCCCTGGCCCTCTGCTTTCCTGTCTGTTAAATGAGAGGATGGAGTATAGTTGATTCCCAACATTCAATGGGCCTGTTGGGAAGCCCAACGGGCTGGCATTAATTCCCTGTGGGTCGATGAGGGGATGACAATGGACAATTTTTTAAGCCATATTGTAACACAGGGAATGGCCTGGAAAAGAGTAAAAGTGTTTTTTACAAGCTGTGTCTTTAAAACCTCCCCAATTCTTTTTGCAAATAAAAGCCTGCATCCCTGCTAAGGCCAGTAATCAGAGGGGCAGGGGAGTGTCCTTTGTTTCCTTGTACCACAGGGATTGTCCAAGCAGAGGTCATGAGATTGTCTTCCCTAGAGATGGGTTCTATCAGAACTATCAACCATAATTAAACAGCAGGAGCCCCAAGCTGAAAATCCCCCTTGAAAAGCTCTGTGTGTTTCTGCTTATAGATAGGACGTTGGTACCTTAAGACAGAAGTTTGCCAGCCTCCTCGTTTGCCAGCAAATTAATAAACCTCCCCTTCCTTCTCAAACCACTGTCTTCGTTCTTCTGATGTGGCCTTGGGGGCAAGTGCCAAACTTCTGGTAACAGAAGAGTAAATGTATTTTTCTAGATGTTGCTCTTTTGGGGTTTCAGTTGAATTCATGATAAAATAATAGCATCCTTTATTGTGCCCTTACTTAGGTTATTACCTGTTACACCATATTACCTCATTTTAATTTTTGCTGACCTGCACTTTATACATGAAGCCACAAGGGTCCAGGACATTAAAACTCATCCAAAGTTATCTCATGTTATATTATTTTCTTACTAAAGATTCGTTACTGACAAGTCTGTGTGAATATGTAGCAAAGGCTTTTGTAATGGGTGAGCAAAAACACATTTCATTATAGACAAGGAGAACAGTATAAACAAATACCAAATGGGTGTTTAAAATATTTTGTTCTTCAGAAATAAAACTATTTTTTGACTCTGGTGGAAATTTTTAAGTTGAGTAGGTCAGTGCCACTGAGAAAATAAATAAAATTGTGTGTGTGTATTTATGTGTTTATGTCTTGCTTCTAATGAAAGTTTCATTGCACCTCACTTGCTTGGAGCTCAGTGAGGAGGTGCACTCATCTATCCAGAACACAACACAATCTTAGGAAGTAGGCAGTGGGGCTGCTGTGACATGAAAGTGGAACTTAGGAAATCTGTGCCCTTGTGGGCCAGCCCTTCCGGCCTATTTACTTTTACTTTACATGTAATTCTAACTGGTTTAATTATCTCCTTTCCAAAACAGTAGGAGATCCCCATTTAAGGAAGGAAAAGGACTTCAAGGACATGAACAGATGTCGATATTTCCTTTGGTCCTGGACCAGCTCACAGAGGGATTCTTAGGTAAACCAAAATCTGAGACCCACTGCAGGAGAGAAATCAAGAGTCTTAGAGATGCTAAAAGGGGTTGGTTATTTGGAAAACCAAAGAGTAGATTGAGATTCCCCTCCATTTGGGGGAGAATGAAGACCTTGCTTTTCCTACTGTTCAAAGAGAGGGCTGATACTGCAATTATTTCCTGGAGTCAGTGGCCACAGCAGTGGAAAGGAAGTGGCGGAACTAGGCGTTACTAATGTCCCCAGCCCCGCCCTCACTCCCTCCTCCCACCTTCCTCCCTCCCCAGAGAATGACTCCAGGACTTAAGAACCTGGAAAGGAGAGAGGCTAGGCAGACGGACACTTCCCCTGTCCAGCTCTAGGGGTGTGTTAGTGACCAGGAGATGTGAAATGAGAAGGAATCCCAAGCACAGCTGGAAAAGGAGAGAGATCCCCAGGGTCTCTGGGAAGTGAGGTAAATACAGGCAAAACGGGAGACTCCCAGTAGATAGCGTTCAGGGCTGCATTTGGCTGCAATCCTATAAACACATTGTTCTGTAAGATCGGATATAAGCATTTAGAAGACTGGCCATTAGAAAATAAACAGCATTAATAACATTAATAATCAGGAGTGTCAGTAGTGTTGAAATTTTTCTGGAATCCTTTCCCGGGTTGCCTAACACCCAGAGAATGACAATAACAATGTTTAGTAGACATAAATTATAGGATTAGTGCAAGTAGCTATCGAGGTGATGAGCCAGGGCTTGTAAATTGGTTTTGTTTTGGTCTCCCTAATTAGGGGTGTGTGTAGTTAATTTCATGACTTTTTTGCCTCTGGCTCTTCCTAATTAAAAAAAAAAAAAAACTTAAAAATGGTAGGAAGGGACATGCACCCTCAATGGATCTGTGTTTATGTTAAAGAATTGGCTTAGTAAATTTAATCAAGACAAGGAAACTGTTAAGGACTGTATTTTTGTCTTTATTAATAATTTACCAGCTTTCATTGATTGCCTGTTTTGACCCAAGCCACGTGCTAGGATATAATGGTGAACAAACACATTCCCTCCCCTCAAGGAATTGGTGGTCTAGTGGAAGAATAGAAAACTAAATGAATAAAATGCACTGTGAAAAAAGTTACGATCACAGTCTGTACTATAAGCATACAATAGGCGCACAGACACTGCATTTAAACAAGCATACATAAGATCATTTTTTAAATTATAAAAGGTAAGTATATTACACAAATTGTTTGGAACCTTGGGTTTTGTTTTTTGTTTTATTTCTTACTGTACACTATACCCTGGAGAACATTCCACCTAGCAGCTGAACGTTGTACACAGATCCTCTCGGCCAGGCGCTGAGGCTCACGCCAGTAATCCTAACACTCTGGGAGGCCGAGGCAGGCGGATCACTCAAAGTCAGGAGTTCCAGACCAGCCTGAGCAAGAGCAAGATCCCATCTCTACCAAAAATGGAAAAAATCAGCCGGGCATGGTGGCACATGCCTGTAGTCCCAGCTACTCGGGAGGCTGAGGCAGGAGGCTCGCTTGAGCCCAGGAGTTTGAGGTTGCTGGGAGCTAGGCTGATGCCACGGCACTCTGGCCCAGGCAACAGAGCCAGACTGTGTCTCAAAATAAATAAATAAATAAAATAAACAGATCCTCTGGCTACAAGCAAGCAGTAGGTAGGACGGGATGGGACGGTGGTGAATGAATTAGAGAGTTAGGGAGGGAGGGTGCTGTCAGCGGTCTTCCTGCTGTGGTGCGGGGCTGGGAGAGGGAGGCCTGCAGGCTGGTGCTGAAACTAGTGGAGATCACTCACCCTATTGAATTTTTCTTTAGTTTCTCTAGTGGAATAGAAAGGTGACGTTGCTGCTGCTAGGGCACAACCTAGAAGCCCCTTTATTTACGCCGCAGATGTGACAGGCCAAGCGCCATGCTATGTTCAGTAAGTCCCTGCTGATTCTCAGTTAATTATTGTGCCAAATACCACCGATTATAAGGAGTTTCTAAAACTCCAATCTGTTTTAAATCTTTCACCACGTATATTTGTAATTGAAGCACTAAGTAAAATAATAATAAATAAATAGAGTTTTTACCAGCTGCAGAGTCCTCTATTTAAAAAGTGCTGTGTTAGAATTATTTCTGAGTGATGAGAATTGGGGTAAATTTTTATTTTCTTTACTTGTACTTTCCTGGATTGCTTGGGTTTTTTTTTTTTTTTTTGAAGGATCATGTCATTTTTAAATTTGGATAATTAGTAATGGATCCAGATTGGCAGAGGAATGAAGAGAATGAAGTTATTTTATTTGCACTGGAGGCGGATCCCTGAGAGCTGAGAGGCAGAACGGGGCGTGACAGGACATGTGCAGAGACCAGGTGGGGCGCAGACCGGAAGCCACAGCGAGGCCCGGCGTGGGCAGGGAAAGGAAGCTCTGAAAGGGAACTGAGAGTCTCCACTCCAGCATCCACCTTA